TTCTGACTCACTCACGGCCTTGTTCGCTGCTCCTGCGAGGTGCACAGTGCGGATCCCTGCACACTTGAAGTCTTCCCCCACCGTTTGTAGCCCTGGTTTGTCACCCGTGGGGGCGGGGGCGGGGCGTGCAGCATGACAGCACGTAGGACAGGGTCTGGGGAGCGTGCGGTCATCTTTGGCCGGGCTTGCTGTCTCACCGTTGTGACTGGGCTGGCTGCCCATGCAGGCCGTGAGCAGCCTTGCTTCGACTGGAGCCCAGACAGCAGTTCCCATGGAACGAGGGACAGCGTGGCCCTCAGCTGAGCAACAGAATTAGCAGCCTTCCCCAGCAGTGTGCTTTCCGCCCGTCCTGAACTGGAAGGCCAGCAGCAACCCAGGACGAAGCACTCAGTCCCCACCCTAGGCTCGCAGCCCCTCCATGCGGGTGGCACACTCTCCCCCCCCCCCAGTCCACTTGTTAAATGGCACATGGCAGCACCACAAGCCGTTTGCTTGGAGTTGAGAACCGCCTCCCCTGGTGGGGGCTTTCAGGTGGTAACTGGCCCGAGGTGGAGGCTCAGACGGACACTGCTCCTCCCGAGTTCTCGCTTGAAGCAGCAGATGGCACGGGCCGTGGCATTGTGGCCACACACCCAGACCAGATGGTTACCTGGATGCTGTGGCAGGCCTGCGGCGACTTGGCCGGCGCTGCCTGTGTGTGGTGGCGGCAGATTCCCTCCTGGGCAGCAGCCCGCGCTCGGCCTCTGATGCTGCCTCCTGCTTTGTGCCAGGGAACCTCACCCTGGAAAGGGAAAGGACTCTGGCCCATGCCCAGCCGAGCCTTGCTCTCCTAGCTGCCCGTCCCAGCACACACACCCCTCAGCTACCACTTCCCGGTGAAGATGAGCCTGCCCCTTGCTGGCTTCCTGTCACTGTGTTGCCACCCTGTCCTAGCCAGAGTCCCATGCGTGCCCTCCTGTGGCTGTGACAGACAAAGGTGCTGCTGATGCCATGGAGAGCAGCCTGGTTCCGGCACTGGCCCCTCAAGGTCACGGCATGCAAGGGCGGCCTCTATGGCAGGTGTTTGCCAAACCCTCAAGGTGACTTGCACTTCTGCCTCTCCATCCGCCCACTTGGGCCGCTTCCAGCACGGTAGAACTTAGCTGGTCCGCCACCACAGGCAGGTGGGGCCAGGATCCAGGGTCGGATCCAGGGTCAGACCCATGGCTCTGCCCGCTCCCATCAGCACGGCACACAGGCATGTGAACCAGAGTCTAGCAGTTTGTTTATGGGTTGAAGAGCCTGCTTCCCCATAATGCACGCATCACAGGGCTGCAGGGAGCCATCAAGCCACTTCTATGAGGTCTGCGTTGCAGAACCCTCTGGGAAACCTATCAGATTAATCCTTTGCCTCAAACCACCACCAACCAAAAAACAAAAGACCATAATGACTCCCACTTGTTTCCCCCACCACTCGGGAGGCTGAGACAGGAGGATCTGAAACAGAAACCAAAGTTGGTAACAGGACAATAAGTATAGGCTAGATCTCACGTGACTGCTATAGACCATAGAGAGTGCACCAGACCTCTACCCAGCTCCACACACAGCCCTGGGACCTCACAGCCCCTGCTCATCAGCACCATCAAACATCTGGCTTCAGGTTCCATCTGGATGGTCACCGCCATTTCTGATGAAGATCACTAACCAGTGTGCGTGATGGGTTGCACATACTCACCTGTCCCAAAATAAATCTCAGCATATATACCCCGCTTCATGGTGCTGGTTGAGGTACAACAGGGGTGGGGTACCTGGCTGCACTGGAGCCAGGTACCCCAGCAGTCCTGCAGGTAACAATCCACTCACTTCCTCCCCGACCTATAGACCACATAGCCCACAGGGCAGGACTGTGCCCAGGGCAATGGCCCTCAGCCCTTGTTGCTCTAAGGCCAGAAGCCCCATGAGGTACCAAGGAATTAATCTACACTCCCTGGGAGCAGGTTTGCACCGCTTCAAAGTCCTTATCCTGCCTGTCACAGAGCATGCTGGGAGCAGAGCAGAGCAGTAGTACTCCAGGTGAGTTCTGCAGTGGGAATGGGGTGCCGGCCTAGCCTGGTCCTCCCAGCAATTGTGAATAAATGAGCTTGCTTCTGTGCCTGGAGGACTGTGCTCCCAGTGAGTCAATCTCATTTTAATTAGCTGTTTGGATTAGCCGTGCCCAGGGCTTCAAAGACATTAGCAGGCCCTCAGTGGGCAGCGCAAGCAAGCACGTTTGATGCGCATCCATCAGCGCAGCGGTTCCCGACTAGACCTCCAGGCGCGGGCTGGGGGAAGGTGATCCATTATTTATGAAAACATTCTACATTCATGAACTGCCTTTGTTGAGAAGGACGCAACTGAAACAAATTGGGGGCGTCTCAGGAAACCCAGGCCCGTGAGATGCCAAGGTGACGGCTGCCCGCAGAGCCTGCATCCCTCCTTACCGTGGCAGGGAGTGCCGGAGATCCCCAAGAGCCCGGTCTCAGATGCTTCACGCGTGATCTCCCAGGCCGAACTGCTGGCTTCCTAGAACCCTAGACCTAGCAACCTGGAAGCCAGGAGGCCCCCGACTTGGGGGATGGGGTGGGGCACCTCTGTAGGGTTCTCCCTGAGGCTGACAGGGTCTGCTTGGCTCTGAGCAGGGAGGCGGGAGCCCCCTCCATCTGTTCCTGCCTGCTGTTTTGGCAAGCCTTTGCCAGACCAAGGCCTGTGTTCAGAAGCACAGCCTGGCAGTGCCATCGGGCCTCTGTCCTCACCAGAGGAGCGGGTGGTAATGGGTGACTGTGATCCAGCGTCGGTCACAGGCCCAGTACAGTCAGTTCAGCCCTGCCTGCCAAGTACTTGCTCAGAGCACCTGCAGACCCCTCAGCTCCTCACTTGCCTCTGGGGTACAGCGGAGTAACCAAAGTAGCCCCCGACACACACACACATACCATGGCGGTCCTAACATTCCCCTGAGCATAGTCTCTGTGCGCCCCTATAATTGGTCACACAGCATGTTTTGCTTTGAAACATGAAATACTAATTAGACTAATTGGAACTTCATCCTCAGCAGTAGCCTGGGACTCCCTCGCGTGTCACTGAGTCACCTCCCCCCCCCCCTTTGTGCGTGTTAAATAGAAAACACCTGTTGATGAGAAGCCCAGCCCGCCACTTAGAACCTCCTCGGACAGCTTACTTGGGGACAGCAGCGTGAAAGGACCCATACGGAATCTGGCACATCACCATGGAGACACCAGGCTGCCATCAGCCATGACAAGCACCCACAGGCAGAGGGGAGGCTGCTGGGGTTCGTTCAGGCATGAGTCACTGTCCCCTGGGAGGTAGCAGCAGGATAGTTGTTCTAGTAACAGCAGACGTCATGATTTTACCAAACCAGCAGAACTAAAATACACGTGCCAGGCCAGCAGGATGGCACGGAAGGCCAAAGCGTTTGCTGCAAGAGCCTGATGGCTTGAGTTCGGTCCCCAGACCCATGTAAAAAATAAATAGCGCTGGGTGTGGGGCTGAAAGGACAGTGTAGTTCCCAACACCCACATCAGGCGGCTCACAACTACCTATAACTCCAGCTCCAGGGGTCTGTCTGATGCACCCTCTTGGCTCGGAGCACCCACACTCGTGTGTACAAACTCACACGGGCATATACACTTAAAAAAAAAAAAACTGGTGGCCCACATCTGTGATCCCAGAGCTCATGTGACATTGGAGGCAGAGACGGAACAGTTGAACCTGTGAGCCAGCCGGACTGGAGTCCACAGCAGATAGATTGGGAGAGCCCCTGCCTCAACCTGGTGGAAGGCAAGAACTAACCCCCCAAAAGTTGTCCTTCCACCTCCACACATACACCGTAGCATGTACACACTCATGCTCACACCTCACTCACACTAGTAATAGTAACAACTTAAAATGTATACATGGGGGAGGGGGGCTAGAGAGATGGCTCAATGGTTAAGAAAACCTGTGCCATCATGAGAACCAGAGCTTGGATCTCGGCACCCACATAACAAACCAGGTGCCCTTCCAGCACCTCTAACTCCAGCTCCAAAGGATCTGAACCCCTCTTCTAGCCAACATGCACACACAAGAACACGCAAGTAACAATAAAAGTTTTAAGGAAAACAAAAACGTCGAAAGCCACATCCACCTACGCATGCATGACAAGGATGTGGAAGGGAAACAGGACAGGGGCCGCAGTGAAGATACCTCACAGACGCCCTCTGTGGCCCTAAGGGCCTGGGACTACACAAACAAGACCAAGCATGCTCACATGCATGCTTGTTCACTGTTGGGACTGTGAACAAGAAACATGCCAACAGCAGCAGGTGCCAGCCTCCCTAAGAACTTTCTGGAATCTAGAAAGGCACCTCCCAGTGTCAACAGAGAGAATAAACCATCCTGGAACAGACCGACCTGGAGAGCAAACACCAGCCAGCCACACGCCATGAGGGGACTCTGCTCCACACCGTGTAAAGACAGCCGCCAAGACGGCACAGTCACGGGTGGTCTCAGCACCAGCCTACTGGGACCACCCCCACCCCCACCCGTCCTGAAATGAGAGGTGACAGGCAGAGCTGTCTGAGCTTACCCGCAGTAGGCACCTCGGGTCTCCACTGCTGCCTGTGTTGGGAACCGGGGTGTCCTGGGCTCACAGCTGCGTCCATGGTGGCAGCCCCGGCTGCAGGCATCCACCATCAGGAGCTGGCAGCAGCAGCCAGCCAGCCATGATGGTACTGAGAGAGCTCCATCACCTACGTTCCAGGTCTTCCGGAAGCCTGCCCAGACAGACAGGCTCTCCCAGGCTTCCCCTGGGTGGAGTCTGCAGGTGGATGCCTGGTCCTTCAAGGAGAAAACAGATGGTACACCAGGACCAGCAGACAGGACGCCGGCCCTTCCTTACCAGTCTGCCTGCTCCTCAGAATCAGTCTCATGTCACCAAGGACCAGGGTCCTTTAAGGGAATGTGAGGGACAGACGGGGATGCCTGGCTCATTAAGAAACCTTTATTGTCATCATTAGAAATAAAAACAGCAGAGTCCCGCACACCACACCCACACCCCACGGGAAGGATAAGCGAAGGGGTACTGTCACAGCAGCTTAGGCAAAGGGCTGAACAGTGGACCTCGCCACTTCCAGCTTCCAACCACCCCCTCCCTTGCGTTGGCCAGTGGCGGCAGGTCAGTGGCAGAGGGCGATGGTCTCCATGTTGAGGAAGCGGATGTGCATCTTGGTCTCGATGTCGATTCCCTGCCAGATCTGGAACGGAGGGAGTGGCATCAGGAGGCATTCCCACCACTGCCTGTCGCCTGCCTGAGCCAGGTCCTCCGCCTTCCCACCCGCCGCCTTCTGCCGCCGACGGAGCCACTTTGCCGATAAGCAGCAGGATGGGTTCCAAGGCTGTGAGCTAAGTGAGGAACAACTCTCATCCCTCTCTTCCGGTTGCTCTGGCGCTGACCTTCACGTTCTTGCTGAGATGGTTACGGTGGCGAGTTAGAATGAAGTCCTGGATCCAGGGTCCTCACTGTCCAGGCTCTTTGACCTCACCCCCCCCCCATACACACCCCAACAGGCTCAGAATTCATGCAAATGAGAGCCTCCTTTTCCTTTTCCTCCGTGCAACTCCAGGATCACCCCACCATGCTTCCCGCTCTCCAGACTCAGATCGGGCCAGCCTCATCCACAGAGCGCCACTCTGTGAACTACTAAGGGCCATTACATGGCAAGCTTCATTAGACAGCCAGCATTAAACACCCCACCAGTTCAGTCACCATAACCCCTGTGGGGTAAGGGGTCCATCTGCTCCAAACCCGAGCTCAGGTAGAGCAATTTGTACCAAGTGACATTGCTGTAGACTGTCAACCCTGGCCGGTTAGGGCCTGCCTGGATATCAGGTCACAAGGTCATTGGCCTACAGGACAAAGCCTTGTCCCTCCCAAGATCACCCTCTCCTGGTTCCTTAGCAATTAACAATTCGGGGGGGAGCACAAGTGGGGAGTCGGGATGGGAGCAGGGACAGAGGAACCTAATAGGCAGGTGACGTGTCTCCCTGTGACATCGGAGCATCAATCTGTCACTCAGCATCTATAGAGATGCCCCTATGGCCTTCCCGCTGTCCCCCGCACTGGTCCTGTGGGGACATGGGAGCAGTTCAACTTCACATTGAGCAGCCCCAACTGCTGGAGTTTGAGATGTTCTCCGAGAAAGATCCTGGACTCCGTGATGAATTCAGCTAGGTTCTGGGAGAGGGCACAGTCATGGGGAGGGGGGCACAGAAGGGACAGAAAAGGGGAGCTAGCTTTTGAAGAGGCCTGGGGAAAGCACCAGAGTGGTTTGTCAGGCTGGCTTCAAGCTCAAGACGCCCCTGCCTCAGCCTGCCAGGTGCTGAGATGGCACTCGTGGGCCACCACGCCACGCTCAAAGCAACTGCAACTGCACCCTCCCCGATACTCCTGCCCCCCCCCCCATGTTCTGCCCCGTGGACCTGGATGAACAGGTCCCAGTGCAGGCCTGAGCAAACCCACACACCCTGTGCAGCCTTGGGTGTGGGCCTCTGACATGAGATAGGGGTAAGCTGCTGACCTGTCTCCTTCCCCGAGAGACGGGGCCCATGCCTGGGGGGTCCACTGTTTATGCTGCCTGACTCATAGGCAGGGAGGCTGCAGTCGGCCTCTCTCAGGTGGACAGAGGGGCAGACTTGGAGCACAGTGGCCGGCCCTGGCTCTGCAAACCGAACCCCAGAGGCCCCAGGCTCCCTCCACGCACAGGCCTTGGTGGAGCCTGCGTGCTGGGAAGCTGGACTGGGTTCAGAGGTCCTCCCGTCTCCGGACCTCCTTGCCCACCTCCATGCCCAGAAGGCTTGGAGAGAGGATTTTAGCATTTTCTTCTTGCTTCCAGAGAACTTGGTCGTCCTGGCAGCCAGGAGCCAATCTAAACTCCCAGCCCTAGAGTGTGTTTGTGACAGTGAAAGCCGTCCATCTGCTAGATGGGTACAGACGCCATCATAAGAGGGAGGACAGGTGAGTGGGTGGCCACTTAAAGCTCCCATCAGGACGTACTAGGGAGGCAGAACCCATCAACATGTTGTCTACTCCAGTCTGCTTGCAGAATGCTGGTGTTCGTCCAGGTGCAGGAAGTTTCCAGAATCTTCCAGAATCCCTGCCGTACTATGAAAAGTGGCTGCTCCTGGGAAGGGACGCCAGTGTCCCAAGGGACAAAAATTGACTTCTCCAATCTACCTGTGCGCCACTGAGGTCAGGGACCACACAGCCACGCTACCCTTTCCACAAAGCCAAGCGGATCAGTTAATGTGGTTTCCAAGGCCTTCCTTATAGAACAGCCCTGACAGGCACTTGTGATCTGCCCACATTTCCACAAGGTCCTCATGGTGTCCTGGTACCCCCATGCCCAGGGTCCTTCTGTCTTCCCCCCCACCAGCACCCACCTTCAGGAAGTCCTCAAAGGTGATCCCCTCGTACACCTGGTCCGGTTCCTGAGGACGAGATTGTAGAGGGAGTGAGTGGCCAGGGATTCCCCCAGGAGGACAGGTCACCTCCTCCAAACACCCAGAGCACAGAGATAAGAGGTAGAAGAGGGGGGTCACGTGTCCCCAGCCAGTCTCCTGGAACCGCAACAGTGGCTGAGGCTTCTGCCCACTAAGCTCCCCCAGGAGGGTTGGGGAGAAAACAGTGAGCCCCAGACACGGGCCCTCCTTCCTAATACAGCCCACCTCACCCTATCCCTACAAGTCCACCTTGCTATGTCCTGCCAGCCTGGCTCCCACCTCGGCTCCCTGTACTGATAACAGAACTATTCTGGGCTAATCTACACTCACAGCCCTCTGGGGGAAGGAGAAGGCAATGATGAAGGCCTCTGTGGCTACCCTTGTGCTAATGAGTCACCGTGATAACCAGGGAACAGGGACCGAGTGTGGCTTCAGCCAGGGGCCTCGCATGCTTGACAAAGCAAGTCTCCAGCTGTGTTCATCCTACTGTAGGGACAGAAGGGATGATACCAGGGCTCCACCCAGGCCAGTGGAAAACTGGGGTTTTTATGACATGTTTTTTTTTTTTTTTTTTTTTTTTTTATTTATTTATTTATTATGTATACAGTGTTCTGCATGCATGTGTCCTTCCAGGCCAGACCAGGCTGGCCTCGAACTCACAGAGATCCGCCTGGCTCTGCCTCCCGAGTGCTGGGATTAAAGGCGTGCGCCACCACCGCCCGGCTTTTATGACATGTTTTATGAAACAGAGAAACCCTACAAGAGCACTGATCCTTGCCCCCCGGCGCTGTTGAACAAGTCTCTAAGACACTCCACCCAGCCCCAGCATCCCCTGAGACGGTACCATTGCAGGACCCCAAAGGTCCCCTGCTGGCTACTTGGGGTCCCCTGCACTGCCCCAGAGACCTTCACCAGGATTCAGCCCTTTGTGGCTACCGAGTGCCAGCTAGCCTCTTCTCAGCAGGGAAAGGCTCGGAAATGCACACGCCCCCGCTGAGAAGAAACAGGAACGCCACAAGGAGGGAGTGCCTGCAGCTCCCAAGGGTGCGTGCACCAGTGTCGCCAGCCCTGAAACTGCAAGTCAGGGGCTAGGCTGGAGCTAGGCCTGAGCTTAGCATGTGTGGGGTACTGGGTTCAAATCCCAGACTCGCCAAAATACAAGTAACCCAACAAAACCCATGGTGTGTCCACTGGCACTGGAGGGGGAAAAAAGCCCTCAAGGGTGGTTCCCTACAGGGCAGGGCCTCGAGTGGGCATGGAGAGAGAGCGACCTTTCACCTTTCACCCTCTCTTGGTTGCTCCTGGGGTCAAGGGTCAATGTTTTTTTAGGGTTTGTTTCATAAAACACTTCATTAAAAAAAAAAAAGTTTTCCACTGGCCTGGGCCTGCCCTGTCCCCAGGGACTGTTCCTCTCTGTTCCTCCCTCTCAGGGAGAGAGAAGTGGCCACCCTCTCTCTTCCAGGGCACCAGGCTCCCAGGCTGGGTGAGGGGAGCTAATTATAGACTCGGCCCCACTGTGGGGAAGTCTGGTAAGCAGGAGTGTGGTTCTGGCAAGGGCAGGAGGCTGGGAGTTGGAGCCCCAGGACGAAGCCTAACTTAGAGGCCCCTCCCCCTCTACCCACCAAGATCCCTGCATAGACATGGTCTAGAGATGCTACTTAAAGAGTCCCCGCCCTGAGTCAATAAGTGGCTTTGGAAGGACATCAAAGCAGGGATGGCGGGTGCCGTGGTCAGAGGCATTAACCATCATGGGAAGCCAGTGGTCGCCCTGACCCACAGCTCAGCCCGAGTCGGTCCGTGTTGATCTGGCTGCTGCACAGTGTGCGCTCTATAGGTAAACACGCAGGCCAGGCTCCCCGGTGGGCTCTGCCCCCACCCTCCTGGGGATCTGCACGGGGGTGGGGTGGGGGGGAGGGAAGCCTCGGCTTGTGAGGCAGAGTGGATTTTTATACAAATCAGCAGGCGCCAGCTGCCAACAATTTTACTACAGCAAATTAAGAAAAGTCACCGATTGAAAGTGGAGTGGGATGGGGAGTCATTTAGAGAGTGTAATTAAACCAAATGGGCATTTGGCTCTGCCCCAGTTAGAAGGGGGAGCGCTCTTCTCCACCCGGGTCAGGGCCCTTCCCTGAGGCGGTTCACACGCAGAATGTGGCGGGTTTTACTGGGGCCCGGTTGCCTCTCTGAGAGCGGCTCAGATAAACAAGCCAGGAGGGGCAGGCAGCTCTGCCTCTGGGCAAGTGAGGAGCCTCAGTGACAGGCAGGGGGCATAGAGGGTGGGATCAGCATGGAGCTCTTGTCAACGCGGTACAACCACACCAGAACTTGCTGGAAGCCCGGCCCGTGGAGGTGGCCGTCTACGCACCCAGGTTGTTCCCAGGGCTAATGGGCTGCACCCCACCCTGCGAGAGACCACCCCCCCCCCAGCCAGGAAAGATCACAAGCTCCACAGAATCTTTGTGTTGAGCCCAGTTTCCCCACTGATAGAACGGTGTGCACGGATGGCCAAGCCCCACCCCCTCAGCCCCTCGGCCACGCCCCCAACACCAATGGTCTTCACAAATCACGAAAGATGCTGAGCCCAGGGTCGAGCGAGGCCTGAGAAGACGTCCACTTCTAACTGAGGAGGCGATGCTCCTGGGGCTCCCTGCTGCCCACAAGGGTAAAGGAGGCCACAGTGGAGACTGAGCTCTGCTTGGCTGCATCACGCAGCAGTCCCCCGGGGCCAGGAAGAGCCTGCAGGAGGTCCTGACTTCCACTCCATGCCAGGCTCTGGGGAGAGCGGCAAGCGGGGCACACCTGGCTCCTGCCACCGAGACCATCGAGAGGTGCAGGATTCCAACCACGGGAAAGGCAGTGTGGAGCCGCAGAACGGGGCGGGGGTGGGGGGGACCTGTTGGTGGGCCCCTGCTCCCCAGCCTCCCCTCCCTCCACCCCAAGGGGCGCTCACCATCTGCCCCACACACACACTGGCTGCCTCCATCATGGCTCCATCTGCAATGGACCGAGCTGACTCCTTCTCGATGTGCGGGTTTCCAGAAAGCAGTTCCTCCACCACCTGCCAGCAGTGGGGCAGACACTTGGTGACCTTGGAACTGACTCCACGATGGTCTGAGGAGGGGAAGGCGCCGGGAGCCCCGGGCAGGGCCAATGGGGGCATACGTTACATTTCTATATTCTTCCAGGGTGATGCGGCCGTCGCTGTCCGAGTCGTACATATGGAACAGAACTGCAGATGGCGGAGGCGGTGGGAGCCAGTTAGGAGCCGCCAGGAGTGGAGTCTGTGTCTCCTCCTCCCCCAGAGGCTCCTGCTCTGCAAGCTATACCAGACTGAACACAAGATACCCGAGCAAGATCCAGATGCCAGAGCCTTGGGGCAGAAGGACACCGGCCATGGGACCTAACTGGTCTCTTCCTGGTGGGGTGCCTTGAGCCAGTGACTTCTCTTCAGCCTCAGTTTCCCATCTATAAAATGGGAGTTGGAGGCACCACCTGCCGCCACCACTACACTTCAGACACGTGACAGGACTGGACACCTCATGAGCACAGAGCCATTATCTCAAAATGCCAGGTCCTGAGCCACACTGCCCACATCCTGATTGCTGGCCGGTCCTAGGTGGATCCTGAGGGCGCTGCTCTGGCATCTGTCAGGAACCAAGTGCCCAGAACCATGCAGTGTGTATTTCCTGGTCATGATGTCCTAGCCTGACCCTGTGAGATCAGGGCTGCCACGGTCCACTTCACAGATGGGCTATCAAGTCCCACGTGTGTTAAGACAGGGGTCCTGAACCGGTTCAGACCTGTATTCCTCTGATTTCATGACCCTCATATTCCCAGCCCTCAGAGCAAACAATCTCGGGCTGGACTGTGGGTACCTCCTGAGCTGCGATACAGGAGGCCCCCAGCGTGGTTTTCCCACCAGCCCCTCACATGCACTCCAGGGCTAAACATAGCTGAGTATTTGGAGCCTGAGGAGGTGGGGAGGGACGTCAAGAGTCGTGGGAAAGATCACAGTACTGCCGTCCAACCAGGATGGCCACTAAATGCTACCCAGAGCTGGTGACCTGAGGAGCCGCCTCAGGAGACGGCTGTCACAGACTGTGCTCACAGCATGCCATGGCGGGGTGGGGCAGTTGTGGGACCCAGACTCAGGGGCTCCCCAGCCCCGGATGTGAGGTTCTATCTGCAACAGAGTCCTCAGCCCCACAGTCACCCATGTTCACAGCCAGTACACCATGCCCGGGTTCAAGGTCACTCAGCTAAGTGGAAGACCTCAAGTAAAACCCCAGCTCTCTTAAGTACGTCACCCCGCAGCCCCCCACCCTGCCTGTCCCCCAGATCTGAAGCTGCTGCACTTTTATGAGGCTACCAAGGTGCAACTTCAGAGGGGCCACACCAACGCCGCTGTTTAGGGACACAGGCTAGGTCCCCGGCTGTCTCCCTCCCTCCTACATGGCCTAGCCTCCCCTGCTCTTGGGGAGTCCCGTGTTCTGAGGACGCAGCACGCACATTTCAGCTTCTCCTTTCTGGACAGCTCCACCTGCTCCTCGCCCAGGGTGGTGTCGATGGGCCGGAAGTAAGACATGATAGTCAGGAAGTCCTCGAAGTTGATCTCATCAGCCAGGCCACTGGGTCCCTTACGCAGGTTCCTAAGGGGATGGCAGGGGGAGGGAGGACCTCGATATATAAAAACATCTCGAGATGGTTTGGGTGGGTAAAGGTGCCTGCTGACCTGAATTCAAGCCCCAGGGCCCACATGGTGGAAGAACTGACCCCTATAAACATGTTCCTCTGACCTCTACATGTACAGAATACTGTTAGAGTATAACACACACACACACACACACACAC